AACCCATACTCTGCTAGATTCCTACAGTTTGTGGCTTGACTATGGAGAACGACTGGGAGACTGAGGAGGTGGAAAACCATCAAATTCTTGATGGACCACAGCCCTACAATTTATCAATTATCAATGCTTGGTGTGAGGAAAATGAGTGGAGGGTTGGCCAGGTGTCCTGGTGAGTAGCTAGAGTTAGCCTGGTGCTAACCCGGATAACATTAGGGAACAAGCCAAAGTCTTTTCAAAATCTTGCCGTCATGTAGAATAGCAAGGAGGGACAACAAATGAAGACATTTACATTTACTTACATGGTGTTAGTAGTCCTGCACAGGCACAATGGCGCTGTTGCTGGCATCTGCTGACAGAATGCGATATTGCCTGTGCTAAAACGCAACTAATTAGCGATGCTCATTGTCATAAAGAAAAAAAGAGATCGATGTCCCTATCGCTGTGTTTGACATGTGTTTGTGTGGGCTATGCCACCCAATGCAATCAGCAGTGGAGAGTATGTGCTGCCGTGAGGTGAACGCGTTTTCGACCCGCGACCGGCAAATCTGACGTGCCTCACGCAGCATCTTGGTTTTGGCGCATGCTGCCTGAACCCGTTTGTTTTGCGAATAGCTTACTCTCATTTCAGACAGGATCACGGTCCTCTTAAAGCCAGCACACATGAGTATGTTTACAATTGAGTTATTTCATTCATCACTTCTGAATCTAAAAAACTTTTCTATATAATTGCTAGCCTACTTGCCGTTAGACTAACGGTAACTCTAGGCTTGGAGTCCCTTTTATGACGTCACGCCCAGCCCAGTGGAAGGGAGGGAGAGTGTAAAAAGTACTAACTTTTCATATTATATTCAGCATTTTGGTATAAAAAAACATAAAAAACAATGGTGGGCGGTTCTTATCTTTATGTTTAGTAAGCACATTGCATTATCTTTGTGAAAAATTGAACCTGCAATTTACTGTCATGATTCTGCCCTTGATTTTCCCTAGTCGTGAGGCAGGATCATGACAGAATCATGTTTTGTGTGCAAGCACATGGCTTAGTGTTCGGCCATGTGCTTGAGTTGTCTCGTTATGTTACTCCGCCCCCTTGTTACCCTCGTCTTGTCATTATTGTCTAGTCAGTTTCACCTGTCCTCGTCATTAGTGTTCCCTATTTAATCCCCTTGTGTTTGCTGTCTTGTGCCGGTTCATTGTTTGATGGTGAGACATACTTTGTGTGTGTTCAAACCGTGAGTTACTTGTTGGAAGTCTTGTTAAGAGAAGTGTTTGTTCCTGTCTTAGTTGTTTGTTTATTGTCAGAGTCTTAGTCTATCCTGTCTTGTTTTGCCCCATCGTGGGTTTTGTTTTCTGTTTTGTCTTTAATAAACCCCTTGTTTAAGTTATCTGCTGTCTGCTATTGGGTTCATCTGCTATCCACATAACAGAATGAACCGGCCAATACAGAACCCAGCAGACAGTTTGCCTGTTCCCGCAATACTACAACCGACTGACCCGGAACTATGGTGGCAGTCGGCTATCGCCGACAGTTGGAATGGCAAGCTTCCAATTCCTCCCCAGGGTGAGAGGACACTGAGGGAGTACGTGCGGGTTGCAGAAGAGAGGAGGTTCTTCTTGCCTGACATCCTCTTTAACCGTTACCTCATCGCGGGCCTCAATGATCTTCCTCCTCTGGACGAACGGGAAAGGCTGGTTCGTCGCCCCTTCCAGGATATGGTGGCCGGTTTGTCACGGAAGGAATCGCGGGCTCCCACCATATCGTCATCACCTGGCATGCTGGCCGTGATCCCGGAGGGTCGCGTCCTCGCCGTGGCTACTATGGGGAACCAGACTTGTCCCAGTTCGGCTCCCGAGGCATCATCTGCACCCGCTGATCTCCGTGGCAAACGAGAGAGACGGCTGTCGTGGGAGTCGACTTCGGAGTCCTCTTCCACTGAGACCACAGTTCTTGCTGTGCTTCCCCAACCGGTCACAAGCCCGGCTACGGCCTCTGCTCCGCGACCCAGGAGGAAGAAGAGAAAGAAGGGAGCGTCTTGTCCTCCGTCTCTGTCTCCCCCTGAGTCTGCGATGGCCGTCCCAGAGCCCGCTCCAGCAAGCGCCGTCCCAGAGTCTGCTGAGAGAGTTGCGGCCAATCTAGCCGCAAAGGAGGTTCTGCAATCGGTTTCGGCCCGTCAGGAGATGCCCATCATCCTTGCTGCCAAGACCCTGTCTGATTATTTGTCTTGTCTAGCCAAGATCCTTGAAGTCCCTGCCTGTCCTGTCTCGTCCCCAGCCCCCGTACCTGCCACAGAGAGCACTACGATTGCCGCAGAGGGCGCTGCATCCAGGCCTGCTGCTGAGGGTGCTGTTCCAGAGTCAACAACTTTCAACGCCTCTTCAGAGTCAGAGGTCATGAGTGTCGGTTCTACCTGGGGAAGCGGTGACTCTGGGTCTGCCTCTGAGAGCTCTGTTCCTGTTCCTGCTTCCTTACTGCCTGTCGATCCCCATGTCTCCGTTCCACTGCCTGCTGCAGTCCCCACTGTCCCCGGACTTCCGTTTGTTTCCCCTGCCTCCCCTGTCATGGCTCAACCCCGGACTGTTTTTCCCTTGTCCCACACCACTCCACCCAAGCCCGCTCGTCCTAAGCCCACTCCCCGTGGTCCCAGGACCCCTGTTCCCCCCACCCACCCTGGACAGTCTCCCAAAGACTTTGTTTTTCCTCCTCCTCCTCTGCCATGTTTGTTGTTTTTATTGTTCCATCCCAACCCTGTTATTGTTTTCTCTTGTATGCCTTTGTTAGTTTTTGTCATGTATTGTTGGTTTGTGTCTTTGTCACAGTCTGTCATGTCCCGTGTTTAATGTCCACTTGAGGAGCGTCTGGAAGCCGCTCCTTAAGGTGGGGGTTCTGTCATGATTCTGCCCTTGATTTTCCCTAGTCGTGAGGCAGGATCATGACAGAATCATGTTTTGTGTGCAAGCACATGGCTTAGTGTTCGGCCATGTGCTTGTGTTGTCTCGTTATGTTACTCCGCCCCCTTGTTACCCTCGTCTTGTCATTTGTCTAGTCAGTTTCACCTGTCCTCGTCATTAGTGTTCCCTATTTAATCCCCTTGTGTTTGCTGTCTTGTGCCGGTTCATTGTTTGATGGTGAGACATACTTTGTGTGTTCAAACCGTGAGTTAGAAGAGTTGTTGGAAGTCTTGTTAAGAGAAGTGTTTGTTCCTGTCTTAGTTGTTTGTTTATTGTCAGAGTCTTAGTCTATCCTGTCTTGTTTTGCCCCATCGTGGGTTTTGTTTTCTGTTTTGTCTTTAATAAACCCCTTGTTTAAGTTATCTGCTGTCTGCTATTGGGTTCATCTGCTATCCACATAACATTTACCCTTTAAAGGGATAGGTCACCCAAAAATGAAAATTACCCAGTGATTTACACGGCCTCAAGCAAACGTAGGTGTATATAACATTCTTATTTCAAACAAATACAATCGGAGTTATATAAAAAAAAATCCTGGCTCTTCCAAGCGTTATAATGGCAGTGATTGGCCGGTTCACAACAGAAACATTACACTAACTGCAGTTGAAAAAGTGAAAAAGCATAACACTGTAGCTGTTGTGGGAAGGAGGCTGGAACCAATAAACTTTCACAATCTTTAATTATAGAATAAACAAACACAAAATGAAAGTAAAGGCGGCAGCCCCTCACGAACGACTGCCGCACACACATAAATAAAACATAAAGTAAAAGTCCAGGCCTGGTCCTCTCTCGTCTTCACTGTCGTCGCTCCTCCTTTTATGCTTTCGAAGCTCCTCCGTGAGAGATACGAGGCTGGTGAAGTGCACAGGTGGCTCTCATCATCAATCACGCCACCCGTCTCGTGCCGTTCTCTCACGGCTCTCGGCCCCGCTCTGCTTGCCCAGGGGGCCAGACACGGCGGCTGCGGCACCTGGGGGTAAGTACAGACGAGGCAAGAGAAAAGGAGAGGGAAGTATGTGGAGCTACAGAGACGAGAGAGGGGAGAGCGGAAAGGAAAAGAAAAGAAAAAATCTTGATCTGGTTCCCTCCACGGTGACACTGGATTGGTGGACGGCTCGATACTCCTCCGCCGCCTGGTGGACGGTGACGGGTCAACCGAGTTCGGGCAGCCGGCAGGAGTCCCCCGTTCCCTGCTCCTCCCCATCATGGTTGACGGCAGCAGGCTCCGGCTCATGGCGAACGGCGCTCCCTCGTGGACGGCAGCCGCCCCTTCAGAACCCAGGTGGCCGGCAGTGGGTTAGTCCCTCCCCCCGGCAACTCACTCCAGCGCACTGCCTCGATCGTCCATGGCGACAGACTCTGCTCAGACGTGCTAGATGGCACCGCGGATTCCCCACAGCGGCGAGGGCTCTTTGACAGCGTGTTCCTCCTTCCTCCCGGGTTTCGGGTTTCTCATACCCCTTTAATATTTAGACCACTTCTATTATTGATTGCTATCAGGATGTGAGGAGAGTTTCAACCATTATAAAAAAAAAAAAAAATTATGACAAAATTTGTGACAGCCCTACATTTATCTTTATTATTCTCATCACTTTTGTCCATCCATTAAAAACAGTCCACAAAACCAAAACTTTCACGAAAATACATGAAGACATCATTAAAGTAATCCATATGAATTAAGCAGTTTAATTCAAGTTTTTTGAAGAGACAAAATCCCACGAAATTCAGTTTATAGGTGGCACAAGTTATTACATTTTGATCAGATGGTTATGTGGACAAATATTTTATTTATCTATTTATTATTTTTTTATTTTTTTATTAATTAAAAAAAATTAAGCAGAGTCAACTTTTACTTGTTGACAATTTGTCTATCTGCTGTAAACATGCTTCTAAATTGTCCGATTACAGTTTCTGTTGGACATATAATGTAATGCATATCCATCCTTCACAACTATTTTCCTTCTGTAGTTTAGCAGTCAGTTGTATGTGTCCTTTCTCAGACACACAGCATGGCATTATGGCATTGCTAATGTGTCTTAATATTTTCCTTCCAGATCGGACCAGCTGCAGTGTTGACGAGAGGAACAGGATGATTTGCTTGGTACGTGCTCTTGTTTTCATTCTGTCCATTACATGAGTGTACAGCTTGACCATTTCTTCAAATGGTGTTACGAATGGGATCACTGTAGAAAAACAGGAAGTCACAGAAGCAGCTGTTTGTTTTGACATGTTCACTCAGATTCCTGATTTGTCTCTTCTCTTTCGATTTGGGGCTTCCAGATCTTTGGTCTCAAACTTATGTAGGTTTGGAGGTGTGGGTTAAGTGCAGTAGTTGTTTTCACATGACAAATAAATTGTATAAGTTTTCATAGTGTGGCCCAGTTTTGAGCCGTGAGAACAATATTACATTTTCTATTACAATGTTACATCAAAACTAGTGATGGCTGACTCACAAATTAATCAGAGTTTGAGTCAGTTCTTATCAATGAATCAGTCAAATGGGTAAGCAAAATGATTCTTTCTGAATATTATGGACAGTTCACAAATCGTTCTGAGTGATTCTCACTTATTGCAACAGTAAGGAGTGCTGGATAAAACTGAATTCATAACTTCTTAGCAATGAAGAAGGTCTTTCCAAAAGTGTATAAAAACAGAAATAGTACAAGAAAGCACTTTTAAAACGTATCACAATATTACCTACCAAGAAGTATTGAAATAGTGCTCTTACATGTATACTAGTACATTGATAACAACATACTAACTACTTGGAAAATATACTTGAACGTTATTCAATAAAATAAACTTGAAGTATAGGCCCAATTCTATTTTGTAAAGGCAGTGCTAATTTGGGATTGAACAGTTGGATTGAACCCAAATGATTTTCAAAACCTGAGACGTAAAATAACAATATTGACATCTGCAGGTGTCTGTGTCCCTGTATATCACAGTAGAGGAACCTGTTGCACATATGGATTGTGTAATGAGACAGTCCCTTCCATCAGAAGCTGTCAGAACTTGCTGTCTAACTTGTTCTTCAAAAGACCCGAATCTCTAAGCTTGAAGACTGATGTGATATAACATCATGAGGATGAGTGATTGTATCGTTAGACTGTCATGAGCAGCATTCTGCTCCATGTTCACAGCTGCAGCTGAGTACAGTGTCTCTTTTGATAACTCTGTCAAATCTAAAGTTCACAGACAGACACATTCGATCACTTCCTTCAATCTACTGCAGATTCACTGCAAAATAATGAGATTCCTGGATGAACTCTGGCTGGTGTTATGAAGAGACAAGCAAGGCCTGTTTGCAGGAACTGGCTGACTAACAACAGTTTATAAGCTGGAGTTCCCCTTGTGTGCGTGTGTGTTTGTTCAGCACGTTCTCATTATCCGGCTGTTTTACTTATGCTTGGGAAGTGCATGTCAACAGGAGTCTGCCTGAGGGAGACAGGGAGGGTCTGTGTGTGTGTGCACATATCCACCAGGCCCCGTCTGTCAGGTCATTGGGTTTCTTGGAGACTCCAGGGGTGTGTGAAGGTCGGCAGGGAGGGAGGAGGTGTGTGTCGGGTAGCGTGCCGAGTGTTGACAATGTGTCTGTGTGTGTGTGTGTGAGTGTGTGTGTGTGAGTGGTGCCAGGACAGGAAGTGGAACAGCATGGAGATGCTTCTCCTGCACAAAGCCTGTGTAGCATCAGCGACTCTCCTTTATTAACAGATGCGAATGTTTTTCTCCTTCTGTGTGTGTTTGTGTACACAATGAGACACTGTAGCTGATAGAGTGTCATACAGTCTGCACACAATGAGCTGTTGTTTGTTAGGTTTGAAAAAGGGTCATGTGTGTGATTTATTCTTTCTGCATATTGAAGCTTACTGTAATCCGATTCACAGATAAATAGTTAAAGGATATTTACTGTTCATGGCACACTGGCGCTGTTCAGTGTGTCATGAATGGATTGTGTGACTGTGTGACATTTGAACTGCTCTAAGCATCAGAATCCTTGCTGGGTTTGCTTCAAGTGGTTGATTTTTGGCAGTTTTTATTGACCAGCATTGGCTGGTAAGTTTTTTTTCCAGTAGGTTTTTCCAGTTTATCTGGCCAATAAGAGCAGGATGCATTAAGAACTCAAAAGTTATATTCACTTTTTTAGAATTATACAATGTAGAAGTTGTCGTTAAAAATGTTGAACAGATTCATTTTCTGATCATGTTCTTAATTTCTTTCAAATAATTAATGCCCAACTATTTTATCAAATATTATGTAAAATAACTTTTAATTTTCTTTGCATGTGTTATGTTTAAATTAAACAGCGTGATTGGCTTTATATCGGTCATCATGCACCCTGCTCTCTAAGATATCAGCATCAGCCATCAAAAAAAGATTCTCTGAATCTTAAACATGTTTACTGTTTGAATGCAAATTTTCTTGTTTTCATCTCGCATGAGGGGTTCACAGTGTTTTCAGAGATCTCGTCTTGGATCATATGGTTGATCAAGAGAAACAGAAGCACTTCACGGTTGTGTTTGTGATCTGGTGTCAGTTAGCTCACGTCCCACGCTTGGTGTCAAACTTTCCAGCACTGATCTAGGACCAGCCTCTGTAGACCCCACACAGCCATATGAAAAAAGCATGAAGCTGACTTCAGATCAGCAGCTGATGTGATCACAGACGCAGATAACTGAGCCTCTTCCTGAGGAAGAAAGAGCGCTAACTGGGTGGCACGAAGGCCTCCTCCAACCGGATGTTTGCACCGCTCAGTCAAACACCTGCTTTGGGACGCAGACGATATGTTAAGCACATGAAGATGTTTACTTGGCCTGCTGTGGTTGAGAGATCTGCTCAAGTGAAACCACGTGGGTTGCATGTGGCTCTATTCCAGAGGTTGCACTTTGAAATATTCTGAGAAAGGAGAGCACTAGAGTCTAAATACCATTAGACCAAAATCTGCATGCTAGTCCCAGGTGTTTGTTTGATGTTGGTATTGATGGTTTACCCAAACAGCCATACTGTTTCAATTCAATTTAATTCAAATTTATTTGTATAGCGTTTTTCACAATCGTTTCAAAGCAGTTTTACAGAAAATGCATGAGTCCACATTACAATTTAGAGTAATCTGTTATCAGAGGTAACTGTCTAAGTTGTTAATGTATTTCAGAAAAGTACATATACAAAATCACAGTTAGCTAAAAATGTATTAATTTAAACAGTGTAATGATTTAAGGCAGAAACAATGAGCTCATTGAAGTAATGAATACTTGTTTGTTTAAATGATTATGACATTTAGAAAAATGGAGCATTGGTGCATGTTGATTCAGAGTTGCGTCATCTGAGGTATTCGCAGAAGTTGGCGTCTGTTCACTGTTCACCAGCAAATGTGACTGATGAAGCAGCTTGAGCTGCATAGTCACTGTGTTGAAGATGGTAGATCTTGCAAATTGCACCGCTGGTCTTTTCATCAGGACAGCAGGCATGTTTAGTTTTAGGGTTTTTGTTAGAACATATCATGAGCAAGGGAGGCAGTGCTTCCTCAAAACAATTGGATGAGAAAATAATCCACTTTTCAAAAACAACACAACACAACAGAAATATTATGAAACATTATATTTAAAAGAGTACAAATCACTGAATGAACTTTACACAGTTATTGAACTGAAGTAAATCAACACTAGGCATGTGATGGTATTACATTTTGATATTAAAATTGCTGAAGCTTTTATCATGTTATTGAATTAAGTTACAAAAAGAGTGGTCCTCCTTAGAGTTCTCAACGGGCCTGAAAATTACAACCCGACCCGACCCGGCCCGTGGCTTTTAAAGCCCGGACCCGATGTAACCCGACACATCAACATGAATTATCTGCCCGAACCCGACCCGCGGCCCGACGCCACCCTTTTGATCGGTGAGTGATGTATGTAGAATGACTGCTGCGCTTGACGCAGAGAGAGAGAGAGCCCCGGCCGCGCGCGCGCTCACTCTCACGTCTCACACATTCCGCCCATCCAGCTGACATACGTAAACCACATTTCAATAAACGAAAAAAAATATCCAGTGATTAAATGTTTTCTGTATTGACGCAAATCTTGTGCGATGTCCTAAACTGCCGAGATAATCACACAACGTGTCGCGCCGCCCCTGAGCAACGGTGATTTCACCTGCAGCAAGTTTACTTTTCACCAACTCCATCTTCTTCTCCGGGCTAAAGGCGTGCACGCAGCGGCGTCAGGTCTGCCCTCGCGTCGCGATGCACGTTGCACGCAGCAGCCAGACTTTCTTTACAGTGAACAGCAGCGATGAATAATTTTTTTTCACTGTACAATTCAAAAGATTAAGCCCGAGGTCCGACCCGACCCGAGTCATTTGCAAATATTTTCGACCCGAACCCGGCCCGAACCCTCGGGTCCCGTCGGGTTTGTCGGGCCGACCCGACCCGTTGAGAACTCTAGTCCTCCTAACAAGTTTAATAACTTTTTTTCAGTAATACTTTATTGTACAGTGTCCTTGTTACATATGTTGCATGTAGTTACTGTAGTAATAACAGTGAATGATGCATAAATACATGCAATAACCCCTAAACCAAACCCTTATCCTAGCCTTAACCCTATAATAAGTACATGTTCATTAATATTACTACTGTATATATTACAGTAGTACAGTATGTCCACTCTAACAAGGACATCATAAAATAGTTTAACGTTTTTTTCTTATAACAAAAACTCTAATTTAAATACAAGAAAACAATACAAAAAAAATGAATAATTTAAGCAAATGTTTAAAAAAAATTAAAGTTCAAAAGAACTATAAAGATGTCAACATCATGTTCTGTTAGTTTCTGTTTTCATGGACTTTTGTTTTTAATGGGGGAGATTAAAACGTGTCCTTCTGCAGATTTCCGCCACTCTTCTGTCTCCTTGGTTACCGTCATTATTAATTTGTATGTGTCAGCTGTGTTTGAATAATTATCCTTGTTTGCGTTTAGTAATTAAGTTTTTTCTTCTCCTGCACTCCTTGTCCGGTCACAGTTGATATTGGTATGAATTTATTCTTTGCGCTATCATAATTACGGTCATCCTCTCCAACAGAGCTCAGGCCAGTCCTCCAGCCCAA